ACAATGCATTAGTGTTCCAATTTTCCCACATCTTCTCCAACATTTATCATTAAGAAAATTATTCTTCAGTAAAAGAGGGTCTGCTAGAATAAATCAGTACAGTATATTATTGGGGGAAATGCTGCCATTTGTGAAAGCTTTCAGGTTACTTAATATGGAGTTACATGACCATTCCTTAAAATAATGAGCATAAGACAAGAAGTTCCAAGCAGATGTGTTTTAAAGTATTTGATCTCCTCACACTTAATTTGACAAGCCATTTTATTCAGTCTTTCCTTTTCAGTTCGGAAACAACTTTTTAAAAGGAAAATCTTGAAGGGGAGGTTTTAGATACTATATCCTTTTATAGGTGAGATTTTAATGGTGATTAGCTGTAGAAAAAAATCTATTTTGGTTTTTTTCCTTTTAGATTCAGAATTTCACTGGCCCCTTATTTCTACCTCCAGGATGTTGGAATATATTTTCTTTGAGACTTGGTGTTAAAGACACTGCAGTAAATATGTTCACCCATGTGTCTTTGACCACAAACATAGGCGCTACGTTTGTAATACCTCTCCAGATTTATTCACCTCCAGCCAAGGTATTGTTTTACCAGACAGTTTGTGTATGTATGTGTGGTGTGATGTGTATGATTAGACTTCTTTGAGATCTCCAAACTTTCTGTTATCTGTCAGTGCTTGGCTGTTATGTAAAAGAGGGTTACGTTCTTTGATACTGATTTGAAATCCAGCAATATTACAACACTGATTTCTACTTGATAATCAATTCAAAATGATTAAATGATGTAAACATATACATTTGGAAAGAAGTTAATAGGTTGGTTTTCCTAATCAATTTTGGATTATCAGGTTTTCTGAGAACAAGAATGCAGCAAAATGCTCCTAACTTAAAAAGAATTTAACTTTTCTTTGGTTTAGGAGGTATCTGTAAATCTTGTTTGAGTTACTCCTTGGGGTCATCTCTTTGGGGATGGACTCCCACTGCAAAGCACTGTTGATCTACAAGGTGTAGGAAGGTGGAATTGAATCTGTACTGATCTCATGAGACAGAACAAACATTCTTTCAAATAATACATTATTTGGTTGTCATCTGTCATTAAAGTATAATTTGGATGGGGTAGAAGTCTGTTGATTTTTTTAGCATTCTCATTATCTGATTCTAGAGAAATAGGTGTTTACTACAGATGTAGGCTAACATGTTGCATGTGCGAGTGCTTTGGGGTTTGTCAGTTTGGTGTTACTTTTTTAATTATTTATTGCCTTTCTATATAGGCAGGGAGTCTGGTCTCTGAAGCAGTAGCCCATTGTGGAATGCACTATTACATGGAAAAGTTAAATAAAGGTAAGTATTTTATTCACTCTTGGTGTTAGAGCTGAAATTGGATGGGAGTTACAGCATATGGGTATTCATCTCTTTTATATTAATTAATATAGTTGCATCAGAATCTCTTAAATTTGTGACATCCTTTATTCGTTTTCAAAGCTCTTGTACGTGTATCTATTCATTCCATCCTCATTAGGCCCCCTTTTTAATAAAGAGCAGACAGGAAGCCCTGGCTTCATGTATAAGATAACTCATTTCCTTAGCTAGGACCTTAGAAGTCTTCTGTTCTCACCTGGCAAAGTTTTGGACAGATAAAATAGAGAATTCAGAGTGATACTGCAAGGTTGGGAGACTAGTTCTGTGACAGTTAATAGCCATTTTCACAAGGATTAAATCTGGGTGAGGACTGTAGTGTTGGTATGGGGGACATTTCCAGACTTTTCCCCAAATCTCTAATTCAAAATAATCATTTTCCAAGCAAGCATCACATTCAGAAACTTGTTAGTTGGATTAGGATTGTATATTGATTTAATATTGCGCTCTCCAGTTCTATTGAAATAATAGAAAAGGTGGCAATAAAATTCTTAGACCAAGTACTTCAGGTACACTTGTCTTGTGTAAGTAGCTGCACCATCTTTTTTTCATGCCCAGCCATGCTCATTTATTGATCTGTACTCTTGTTGGCAGTGAAATATTAAGTACCCTGGGAACTTATGATGTGAGGGCAAGTAAGATTTGTGTGTAAAATTAATAATAATTGAATGCTAAAACTAAAATTAATGAAAATTCCACAGTTGGGACAATTAAAAGATATTTTATAGTAGATTCACAGACCCTGTTTTTGTCATATGTAATTACAATAAAATTGAACATTTTGTTGAAATATTTTTTGGAGGTGAATTAAGACCCGTGCTTTCTTAGATATAGGGAATTCCCTGTTTGGAAAAAGCCATCCTCACATTCTGATTGGTTTGCCAGTTTGTAGCCTCAGAGTGTTACCTACAGCTTCTGAGGGATTTAGTGACTTGACCTCAGTTACACCATGAGTATGTGTCAGGGGCAAGACATAAACCTAGCCGAGGACTCTGATTCTCAAGACCAGGCCACTATACACAGTGCTATACAGTTAATATAGATCAGAGGTCTATAACCTATTCTGTGTCATGTCCCTATGCCAGTCTGATGAAACTATGGACCTTTGCCCAGAATAGTGTTTTTAAATGTATTTTATGTATGATTTTTAAATACATAAAAATAAGTACATGGAACAACAAAGGAAACCAATTACATTGAAATACATTTTTCAAATATTTTTAAAAAACAAGTTCACTGCTCCACATCAAGAAGCTCTGGTCAAAATGGATAATCTAGATGATTTAATTTAGATAATTCAATATTAAATCTAAACTGACCATTGGAATGAAGGATATTAATAATGAATATATAGGAGATGGTAGTTAGAGAAGGCTGACATTCTCAGAATATTTGATGTCTTCCATATTGGTCAGCAAAGTATTTCTGGGAATCGTGGGCTGCTTAGTTTTAGGTATAAAGTAAATTGAATTGTGCTTTTTGTTATTGCAAATAAACAGCTTGATTTCATTTCCAGCAAGTCCTTATTGGCAGGAAGGCTTTTCTTTGAACCATTCTACTCCAAAGGTGGATTCTGAGCTTGCAAACAAATTGTATCAGAGCTGGCAGAAGATAAAAAGTGGTCAACTCTGCAGGTGTGTCCAAAGGTTTCACAAACACTTTCCTTTATCATTAGTATACTTTATGACATTAGTTTTTATGTAGTACTCTCCTTGCTGTAATGAAATTTTAAAGGTTGACTTATATTTAAATATCCAGAAATATTATGTGAATACGTGGAAATAAGGATGCCTACAAATCAATAAGCATTTATTAAATACCTACTTATTTGGGAGCAGATGTTGGGGTTAGGGGTCCTTCTAGGGGTCCTAGCGCTTGGCACAGTGTCTGGCAGAAAGTAGGCTTACATTTTGCATAAAACTTTTTCTTTATTAAACAGGAGGAGTGTTTTGGGAATGACTCCATTTGTTTATCCAAAGAAGTCTCGAGAATCAGGGTCATTTGCTTCCTCTTTGCCACGTTTAATCACAGAGCCTGGGCTTACGTTGAACTTCAGTGCGTCTGCCCTCAGGACCAGTATGGTGAGGATAATGTTCTTTATCTCCTATACCATTAGTTTGAGAGAGGGAGAGAGAGAGACAGACAGACAGAATGTGTGTGTGTGTATGTGCACACATGTGTAATTTCAGTGCCTCTTGTTATTCCAGAGAATATTATGAAATATAAAAAAAATTAAATTTACTTTAAAAAATAAATGTGTTATTTATCTAACCTTTTGACATATATATTAACTCAAGAAAAAACAAAACAAAATCACAAGAATAGGGTGTGAAATTATTTTTTTAAAAAGTTTGGAAGTCACCTTTCTTTTTCATATTGCATACATGTTCAAGCAGGGTCTGATTTTATTTAGGCACCATGCCTATTTTTTTTAAATGACTCTTGTCTTATTTTTATTTTTAATTTTTATTTTCATTTTTACGAAAGTGTGGTTTTAGTGGATAGAAAAGGAGGCAGAGTTAAAGAGAAATATGTTCAAGCCAAGCCACATCCTAGCTTTTTGTGACCCTGTTCTGGTCTTATCCCTTTTATAAAAATGATTAAGAAAATAAACATTGTTTCCAGTTCTCTCTTAGCTCAAGCTATTACTGCTTTGTAACCTATTGATGGGCAGTGAGGTGGTGGAGTGGATAGAGTGCCAGGACCGGAATCAGGAAGACTCACTTACTGAGTTCAAATCTGGCCTCAGACACCCAGTAGGTGTGTGATCTTGGACAAGTAACTTAACCCTGTATGCCTCAGTTTCCACATCTGTAAAATGATCTGGAGAAGAAAATGGCAAGCCACTCCAGTATCTTTGCCAAAACAACCCCAAATGAGGTGACAAAGAGTTGGACTCAACTGAACAACAACAACTTATTAACATTTTTCTTCAAATGGGGCTCACGATTCCTAAAAAATTCTTGCATTCTCAGCTATTACTTTGTGGGAGAATACTGGGCAAATGATTAAAAAACAAAACAAAACAAAACTTTTAAAGTTTCTTGTTTATTGTAGAATTAACAGACTTGGACATTTCAGTATACAAAGAATAGAAAAAGAGGATTATGTATGAAAATGCAAACTTCAGTTACATGTAGCTCATTTTTCTGATGTTTATGTTAAATTTAACATGATAATAACATCATTGCCCTTTATGTCCCCTTCTGAAGTACCTTCTGTTCCCTTCTGTGTATTTTCTATTTCATGGATTTTTTTCCTTGCATCAATATCATAAACCCTTTCCTCTCTCCTTCCACCCTAAAGGCCTTCCTTTTTACAGGTATAGACAAGCAAAACAAATTCACTTTGGCCATGTTATAAAATGAATATCTCATTGTGAACCTTTAATTCCATCAACACTTGACCAAGAGGTGGGAGTCTTCCGGAGTCATGATTTGCCATTGCATTGGTTAGAGTAGAGTGGTCTTTCAAAGTTATGTTATTGTATTAGTTGTTCTCTTGCTCACTTCATTCTGCATCATTTGATATAAATTTTTTCTCCAAACTGATTCTCCAAATGTTTCTCCAAATTGATCCATTTTGTAATTTCCTGTAGCCCCAGTATTCATTAATTCATATATTGTAATTTGTTCTGTTATTTTCCAGTGGACATGCATCCATGTTATAAAATTATAAAGTGAAATTTTCCTCTCTGAATTTCATAATACATTAGGATCTCACAACTTATGAATAGGCTTCCTCCACCCTCCATCCCCCACCCATTTGGTGCCATATATCAATGTGTAGCATACCTGATTCAGTGATTTCGTTTTCATTACTCCTGGGTCCAAAAATGTTTCTTTACCATAGTCTTCGCTTCTCTTATATTTAGAAACAAACAGAACACGAAACAGACCTTGCTCTTTGTAAAAGGCACCAGTTGAATGCTCTTGACTGTTAATCTTCTCCCTCCTCAAGTGATTATGCATGTAATTATCTGTTGGTCAGTTGCGTCCGACTCTTTGTGACCCCATTTAGGGC